AAGGGCCTGGCGGGGCGGGGGATTGGGGAGAAAAAGCCACAGCGCCTCGTCAGACAAGCGGGGACATTCTTCTTCCAGCCGATGGAGGACAGCTCCGGGCTCGTGATGGAGGACGCCAGGGCGCTACATCCACAGGACAGCAAGGAAGCGACGGTGATTTTCTCGCGGGCTTGGTTTCCCAGCGGGGCGGGGATGTGGTGAGAGCAGGCTGAGGTTCTCCGCCTTCGTCCAGGCGACCGCAGTGAGGAGGTTCAGTCAGGAGCAGCTGCGACATGGGACCGTCCTGAGAGCTGTTCGTGCCCCGGGCTTTGCTGGGTCGGTTCCATCTCCCGCAGCAGGTCTGACCCCTTCTCGGGTCATCCCAGAGCAAAGCCCCAGCACGCTGCTGTGCCCAGCGGTACCGCGCCGGAGCAGCAGAGCCAGTGCGCGAAGGCCTGTTCCTGGTGAGCAGAACGCCTGGACATTCTGCTCCAGCCCCAGGAGCGGCGGTGGGGCTCCCGCGCAGGAGGTAGGTGCATCCCGCCAGCTTCCCAAGGGAAGTGACTAAGCTGCGCCTTACCGAGCCAGCCCCGCTGCTCCCCGTGCTCTGCCCACCAGCCCCAACCCTGCCCCTAGCCCCATGTGGAAGGCGGCCCTGCTCTGAGCACGTCTGCGTTACCTGGAAAATGGGAATGAGGGGAAAAACACCGTCGGGGTTTTAGGGAAGACTCCTTTTACCTCCTCGCAGGCAACTGCTGCAATACTGGTCAGTGTTGGCCCTTAAACTCTGCTCTTTTATAAAACACCAACTAGGGACAAGGTGCTACAGCAATTTTTTAGCCTCACTTAAGCATCTTTGAGTAACTAAACCCTGGCTATGGCAACAGCACAGGCAGGAAATAAACTGATGAGTGGCTCGGTTCTAAAAATACACCTGTGAGCAAGAGGTGTTGCAGCAAAAACTCCGGGTACATAAGCAAACCTGTAACTCATCGGTCATTCTGTGAACACAACTCTTGCTCAACTACGCGTGCACACACAGGTAATCAGCGCACAATTAAGGAGTTCCAAATATCTAGGGCATGTCTTGGCTGTAGAAAGACAAATTAATTCAAGTGAACAATTCAAATCAAATAGGAAATTAAGTAATTTGATTTTCTAGGTGTATTTTTTTTTCCCCAATTCAATTCTCACTGATTCTAGTATTTTTTTCGCTAACCAGGATACGTTATAACTGAACACGTTCTGGAATTGTCTATCTTGGGTTTTGGAGATTTTTTCCTCCCAGAAAACAGTAAGTGCCAGGTCCTGTTTAGGCTTTTTCCCCCCCTCCTCAGCCTGTGCCAAGGCAAGCAGAAGGTGAAGGCGAGCAGGAAGGCAGCTTCCACACAGCTGAGAGAAGACCCCCAGCTCTGCTCTGCACTCGCTCACAGCGGCCGCGGTGCAGCGCTGCGGCAGGGCAGCACACACGGCGTGCGTCAGCTGCCCGCCTGGCACCAGCACCAGCCACCGTGGTTCATCAAGGCCCGGGAATTTCGGCTGTCGAGGGTTTTGTCAGCGTGCAGAGCGCAGCTCCGGTC